AGGCACTCCCATTTCTTTAAGGACTTGCCATATTTTGCTGTGGACCACACAGTCAAAGGCTTTTGCATAGTCAATGAAGCAGAAGTAGATGTTTTTCTGGAACTCTTTGGCTTTCTTTATAATCCAGCGCATGTTAGCAATGTGGTCTCTAGTTCCTCTGCCCCTTCGGAATCCAGCTTGTACTTCTGGGAGTTCTCAGTCCACATACTGCTGAAGCCTACCATGGAGGATTTTGAGCATAACCTTGCTAGCATGTGAAATGAGTGCAATTGTACGGTAGTTGGAGCATTCTTTGGCACTGCCCTTCTTTGGGATTGGGATGTAGACTGATCTTTTCCAGTCCTCTGGCCACTGTTGAGTTTTCCAAACTTGCTGGCATATTGAATGTAGCACCTTAACAGCATCATCTTTTAAGATGATGGAATGCCATCACCTCCACTGGCCTTGTTGTTAGCCATACTTTCTAAGGCCCACTTGACTTCGCTCTCCAGGATATCTGGCTCAAGGTCAGCAACCACATTATCTGGGTTGTCTGGGATATGCAAATCTTTCTGGTATAAGGAACAGAATAACTGCCCTCAATTGGGGTGTGGCAACTGTTTCAGCAATATGTTTGCAAGGAATAGTAAGCAAACTTTATAGCAGCTTTTTCTCCCCACTGGCCTCATCTGGAGACATCAGAGACATCTTCTCATGTGATTTTTCCTTTTTCTGGGAACGACTTTGAAATTCAGCCAAGAATGTGGGCATGTGTGCCAAGTACAGAGGAGAAAGTGCCTGCACTCCAGCCGAGCTTTGCCTATCTTAGCTGAACAGTATCTGATCATTCCCCTTTCTTCTGAGAAAAAAGTTATACCTAACCAGATATTCCTATCAGCTATCTCCTGCAACAGCTTCTCTCCAACTGTCTACCCAAAGCACACCATCAGTAGCTGAATGGCTGGCAGGAGCAAGATAGCTAGCTAGTCCATTACCTATTCCACACAGACTACCCTTCCTTTCAAGCAGAACTGGATCCTGTCCAGTCACAGGCTCGGCCCCTTCCACTGAAGAAGAGCTACTTATCCAGTCACCATTCAGTGTTTCTTTCTAGGAGGCAGAAAGCTAACTGATCAAGGGGACAGGGTTACCAAATATGGAAAGCCATGAGTTAAATGAAGCATATCAGGCAAAAACAAAAGAGAAATAAAGAAGACGAAAATGTTGTCTTAAAGACTAAATGCTATATTTTAATATGAGCTTTCATGGACAGGTCCACTTCCTCAGATGTGTTAGATGAAGCTCAGTCGTAAGGCACATCCTACCCTGCCTGCCCTGAATGAACAGGATTACTGGCAGGGACACTCACAGATCCATTTCTGTCATTGGAGCCAACTATTACCTCTGCAGTACAGAGTGTTTTCTAGCTGCTTAGCTTGGTGTACCTACAATTCTTTTCTTTAACCTGGCCTCAGTAATCACAATCAATGCAATTTTACTAGTTGTATCTCACCTTGAGATCTATCCATATAGGACATGTTTGAAATACTTCAGTAAATAAATGGAATAATCCACGTTCTGGTAAGTCTAGTCTTCCAGATTAGACTACTCCAATTTATTATATGTGATTTAACATTAAAGACAGTTCTGAAACTACATTTATCTGACACAAGTTACATGACCGTTAATAGAACTAGACATCAGGATCTCATTAAGTCTGGGCTTTTGCCAGTTGTAGTGTTTTCAAGATTCAGTTTAATGTGCTGGTTTTGTACTTCAGACAAGGATACATAAATGATAGCTGGTAGTACACTATTTTATTCAACAGAGGACTTTCCTTAGGTGTTCATACCACCTGGGATGTAACAGGTGGATACAGTGAAACTGGTCTACTTGGTAGTGACACTCTATCCATGGAATGTTTACCGAAGAGACCCATCTTGTGCCTACCTTGATATATGGCTTTCTAATCCTCTGAACATTGCTTTCTATTTGTTTATCTGCTGGAATTTTCATGGCTTTTCATGTAATACAAATTATTTTAAGTCAGTTTCCTGGAACTAAGTAAAGTATAGGGTATAAACACTATAAGTAAACAGAAACTACAAATCATAACAGAAATGTAACAGCCTCATTATTCCTGCAGAGAAACTGCCAAACAACTTGCAGTCCAGACCACCTGAATGTTAGCACACACTCAAGAAGTCAAGACTCAGTAAAGGACTCTCAAGGTTCTGAAGCTTACATATTATCGCCTTTCCAAGATAGCAACATACCACAGTTTATGTAACTTTGGTGGCAAAACAGTATGTGCAATTCGCACCATTTTTGTTGTTTACAGTCCAGTAAGAAGTCATACGCACATATCTAAGCATGCTTATCATACCTATATAAACACTTCTCTGAGAACGACATTCGCATTCTTCAGTGTGCTAATTATTCTGAAACAGAGGCAGAACCTATTCTTGAAGAAAGCCTATGGATATATGACACAGTTCTACAATACATTAACAATAGATTGCACCTGTAAATGTTCATCTACAAATGTCAACATATGTGAAACTTTTAAAAATATCAGAGGTAAAAAATTATTCTCTAATCTGAAAATGTTTCATGAACACTAACAGATGCTCTATGTTAGCATTCTGGATGTGTTTGGTGAAACTATCTATGTAAGAAGTAAGAATATTCTGAAGGAACGGTTTTGGAAAATATTGCTCTAAGCATTAAGACCATCAAGATGACTTAAAAGGGTTTAGAAATTGATATCCCTTTCAAGCCCTATACTTAAAATAAATTGTTATGGAGATCCTGGCAGTTACTCTCAAGGGTGATGTGGTAATAAATTGGGTACTTGAAAGTATAAATAAATGTTACAACAGTGAATGGGAAAATCAAACTGAGAAGAAATTTCCCCTCACTGTTATTCTTCTTCCACAGGTTTTTCAACTCACCGGGAAATGCTTCCTACTTGCCAATGATGAGTGGAACTGTCAAGACCCGGCCATTTTCCAAGGGGTCTAAACATCCTAACTGTGATACAGAACCGATTACCTCGTCTCATAACTGAGTTACTTCCTCTATTACTACCTTTGCCCAAGAAGCAAACTAAACATAACCTATATCTTAATCATTTTTATACAGTGATCTAATTCTAGAGTCTCTCCCATACACAATTGCATCCTGTTAAGTTACCAGGGCAACCATTTCATGTCATAAGGCTACAGTTCCTTTAAGTCTACAACCAGAAATTCACCATCTTAGACAGTTCTACTGTGTTCAGTAAAATAAATCTGGTACAAATGGATGCAGCAATTATATATTCAGGAAATAAATTACTTTAATATACTAAACCAAGAACCGTTTTATACATTACAAAATTCCAACATGCACAGCATTTTAAATCTTTCTGACATATTCCTTTTCTATAGGAATAGAGAGCTAAGATTATTTGCAAGTCCCAGTATGCATTCAACAGTAATACAAGCATAACAATCAAGTACCACTGATCTTTTCCCAGAAGTAAATTCATGCTCTTCATTTAATTGTACATAATCAAATTAGGAGTGACAGAGTGATTCAGTGGATTACAGCCTAGGACTCAGGAAACCTGGTTCAAATCCCCACATGATCATGGACATGTACTGGGGGGAAGCACCAGTAAAACCACTCTTTAAATATATTTTATACTTTTAAAACTCTATTAGGATTGCTATAAAATGGATACAACTTGACAGCACATAACATTAAAAATGAATTAAAAGGGTGATGTATTGGAAAGAGCAAGCACAGTCTTTGAATCCAACCGAATGTATTCAGCAAAAACATGTATATTTTTTCAGACTTTGTGAAACACTTGCTCTAGTTATTTGTACAATCCACAGCAGATTCCTTTCTGAAATATGTTTGCCAATTTAAACCACAGTATCTTATATTTCCATTTTTCTAGTACTTAAACGAGTTTGCTGAAAGCGGCGCTTTGCCGCGGGGGGTGCAGGGAGGTGGCAGGCCTGCCCCTGCCAACCCCCGGCAAAGCGCTGCTTTCAGAGGCTTCCTGGTGCATTTCCACTGCCTGTTTACCTGCTGGGCATGCCTGGGGAAGCTTCTAAGACCCAGCGCCAATCAGCTGTGAGGCGGGGAGGGGCTGGAGCAGAGAGGAGCACAAAATGGCTGCCTGCCGGCTATGAGCTGCTTGGTGCTCTTTTTCCTGCTGTTTTGAGGCTACCAAGGCAGTGTGAGGAGCTGGGCTCAGTCTACAGGTAAGTGATTTATTTTTTAAAAATGTTGTTTTGGATTTTTTTTTTCCCATAGGAACACATTAATTAAATTTCAATGCATTCCTATGGGAAACCTTGCCTCGTAAGATGACATTTTTGCTGGACGGCATTAACCGTGGAACGGATTAATTTCGTCTTGCGAGGCACCACTGTACATATTTTACTTTCATACACTCTAAAGTAATATATACACAAACAGTTTTTAAATGGGATGGACATTTAATCCATGGTACATAAATTCATAAGAATTATCCTTTCCTCCTAGAACGGAAGTTCATATTTTGTATTTTCTCCTTCACACTCAGCAACATGAGAGAACTCCACCGTAGTAAGGAACCAAAACTGCTTCAACAAGGAAGCAAGCTAATGTTAAGTTTTTTCTGGAAACTTACATTGTAACAGTACATTGACATTTATTTCAGCTGACTACTATCAGTTTCCTTGCCAGCTTCAGCTGTTAAAACAAAGGACAAGAAGGTTTCATACTAAAAGACAAAAAAAATACATGATGGAATTTAAAGAAAAGCTGCTTCATCAAACCCTAAACCTAAAAGAAGGAGGCAGTGCATCTCTAAAATTTGCATGGAAGTAGATCTATCAAGAAGCACAATTGCAGTCTTCAGGTTTTTTCAGATCCATCAATCAGTCAGGTCCAAATTTCAATCTGCAGTCACCACTCTCACTTTATGTTTTATACCAAAGACAAACTAACATTCTCTTCTGTGACATTCACTTGCCATTTCATGCTCACTTTACAAGTGAGCGTCAAAGGAATAAACTTCCAATTTCTACTTCCACCCACTCTTCATTTACCTTTTTTCTGATGCCATTTTTACTTTATTCATCCTGGAAAGATTTTTCCTTCATATCAACCACAAAGGATTAGTTCCTCATATCAACATTTTGGATGATCTGGGGAAAAAATGAGAACAAATGGAGAGTGAGAGTAATATTTGGCATGTGAAATTGATCTAGCAACCGCCTCACCTTCAGAATTAGTTAAATACCTGTTTATGTGAAATCACTGAAATCGAATACCTTTGTGATTTGATATCCTCCATCTGCTTTACTCTTTTTTCTTTCGGTATGTTGTTATAAAACAAATTTTTAAAGATTTTTTAAAAAGATTTAGTAAGAGAATCAGATCAGCACTTGAGAAAAGCTATGTCATCTGCAAAGAGCAAGGCAGGTAATTCCTTGGAATTATATCTTGGCTGGTTTGGGAATAGAAAACAGAGGCGGAGGTTTCCGGTCCGGCTCTTTTCTTGGAGACCATGGCTTCCTTGGACATCTCTCAAGATGTCAACGGCCCCACCCACGTGGGTGGCCATACCTTAGACCTGGTGTTCTCCTCCAAGTGGAGAGAGTGTGATCTGATGGTGACTGACCTTGTCTCAGTCCCCTTGTCATGGTCGGATCATCGCCTTAATAAATGTAACCTGTCAGTGGCTCTCCCTCCCTGCAGGGAGCAAGGACCTATTTTAATGTTCCGCCCTCAAAAGCTACTGGATCCTACAGGATTCCTGGATTCCATGAGAGGGATTCTGGCTGACTTGCCTAGTGCTCCTGTCAAGGCTTGGTTGATGGCTGGCTTGCTGCCGCCACCAGGGCTGTTGACATAATCATTCCTAAACGTCATCTCAGTTGCAGAGCTCATACAGCGCCCTGGTTTAAACAGCAGCTGCGAGCTATGAAGCAGAACAGAAGAAGGCTTGAGTGCAATTGGAGACGGAACCCGACAGAATATTATCGGAAAGCTATCAGGATCACGACTAACCATTACCTTACTAAGGTGAGGGCTGCTAGCTGAGTTCACTTCACTGTCTAGATAAGCGAAGCTTCAAATCAGCATGCGGAACTTTTCCATATAGTCCGTGATCCATCCGGAATTGGTCTAAGTGACAGGCCTCCTAGCAGTATCTCACCTGACCAATTTGCGGCATTTTAAAAAATCTAAAGTGGAGGCCATCCGCAGGGAGCTCTCTCCTTTTTTGTATGTAGTGGATTGAGCAGAGATGTCCAATGCTCCGCCTTGCCCAATGTGTTTCAGCCTGTGACGCCAGATATGGTGGACAAGGTGCTTGACCGCTGTTGTGCCACCACCTCCTCACTTGACCCTTGCCCGATCTGGCTAATCAAAGCAGCCAGGCCTATAACAACCGAATGGGCCACTGCAATAATTAATGGGTCTCTCCAGAACAGCATTCATTGTTGTAGGAAAAAAGGAGATGTAGAGCTGGGTGTCATCAGCATACTGATGACACGAAGCCCCCACCCTAATGGGCTTAATGAGTGTCCATTAGGAAGAAACCATTAGGAAGAAACCAAATTTGGCAGCGGATGAAAAGCAACTATAGGCCCGTTGCCAATGTTTCTTTCCTTAGTAAAGTGGTAGAGAGGGTAGTGGCTGACCAGCTTCAGGCCTTTCTGGATGAAACCAACACCCTGGATCCATTTCAGTCTGGCTTCAGGCCATGCCACAGTATGGACACGGCATTGGTCTCCCTGTTTGATGACCTCCTGAGGGAGGCCAACAGGGGCAAAATGTTTCTGTTGGTCCTTTTCAATATCTCAGCCGCCTTCGATATCGTCGACCAGTTTCCTCCTGGGGAGGATCTCTGAGCTGAGAATCGGTGGTCTGGCATTAGCCTGGCTCCGATTCTTATTGGAGGACTGTCCCCAGAGAGTACAGCTTGGGGACAATATATATACTCCGTGGAATCTCAATTGTGGGGTTCAACAGGGCTTGATTATCTCCCCAATGCTGTTTAAAATTTACATGAGGCCACTGGGTCCGGTCATCGGGGGGGGGGGGCGTGTGCCCC